ACGCGTCGTTGCATAAGATGATAATAATACGAGACACTTTATCAAGACCCAGATGCACATGTGGATCGCTTTGTAATGTCTTTTTTAGGTGCAAGATCAATCCCTCATTTGGAACACCGAGCTCGTCGAGGCCTTGGAGCTGCAAAACATGATGCTAGTCTGCATGCACACTGTATACGCAGCCGAAAATCGAAAGGAATCGAGAGGATCGCACGCCAGGGAAGATTTCAAGGTTCAAATAGGGAAATTATACTAACAAAAAAAAATTGAAATGTCATAAATTTGTATAAATAATTAATTCAAATAAGTAATGTTGTCGGTTGCATTTTTCGAATTCATAAATATAATTTTAATTATGAGCTTCTCAGCCAATTGAATCGAGAGAAATTATCGTGAACGGTTATTTCGTTTCTAGGACAGAATTGACGAGTATGATTATACGAAACCGCTCCAGGGACAAAAGAAACGACCTTACACGGAACATTGGCGTAAACATTCGCTTACGTGGGCTCAGGAGGATGGAACGGTTAGTTAAAATGCCACAAGAGTAAATGCAATTAAATTCTCTTTGAGAGAGTGTAGTTGACAAAACAAGGTCAAACTTTTCGATGATTACAAATGAAAATGCAAAAGGTTTTACGCTTCATTAGAAAAAAGCTACTGAAATATATCCAGTCGATACAAACTAAAAGTAACATAACATCATTGTTTTAAATAATAATAACGAGAAGAGCTACGAGCCTAATGAATATTTTAAAATTTTAATGACATGTAATAATAGAGGAAGGTCACCGATATAGGGTGAAAGATTGCTGATGAAGACTCAAACCATGAGTGGAAATGTTCAAAGTTAAGGTTTACATTTTTAGTATTAAGAAAAATTGCGCTAATTGATAACCAGCGTCGACTCCTATTGCCTGTATTACATATTTCATGATTTTATTAATGAGAGATTTATATATATATATATATATGTGTGTGTGTGTGTGTGTGTGTGTGTGTGTGTGTGTGCGCACAAATATGCGATGGAGATCAACGGTCTTTTGGAGAGTGTCATTGTTTTAATTTCGTACTCAATAATTATGAGTAGCATAACGTTAAAATAATTTCGCACTTGATATAAATATTTACATGTAGTGTTACATAATAGTTACATTGTTGACAGCAAAATTACATTGTCGATATTACTTGTAGGTAGTGTCGACTGAATTACTAATGATTATTACATGAGCAATATTTACCTTAAAAAATTCACTACGTAATTTTATTAATTCTTAAAAACACATTTGATTTATTATATTTTATATGACGTATCTTCTACTGAGATATGTCTTATTAGTATTATTACTGATTATCGCGAAACATTGCGATTTTTACGGCGCGCTCTGTTTACAGATCTATATCTCTTATCGGCCCGTTATCGATACGACTCTAGACGAAACCGAGGCCCAGCATGTACCCCCTGCAGTTCGCGCATATTGACTCAAGAAATGAATAACTAGCAACGGGATGAATGAAACATAAAGGAAGCAACCCGATTATGAATCTAAGTCGGCTGTCGCGTTATCATTTAGAGTTGCCGCAGACAAAACTTCTGTAACAGTAACCTTAAGACGTAAACTTAAGCTGATGAGCCAATCAGGATACTGCTTTAGATCTACGTGATCTAACGGAAATAGAAATAGCAGTAAACTTATTCATAAGGCGAGTTTCAACCGGTTGAAATCATGGATAAATTTACTGTTATTTCCATTTCCGTTAGATTACGTAGACCTAAAGCAATATCCTGATTGGCTCATCGGCTTAAGTTTCCGTCTTACGGTCACTGTTGCGGAATTTTGTGTGCGGCAGCTCTTAACACATATTTGTAATCAAATGCACGAAATGTGAAAATTAAGCCACCAGAAACCGGAGAAACGGCAACAAGAAAATCGTCAAAAATATTTCTTCCTTAAATATTGCTTTTAAATATTTTTCTCACACAGATATCTTTCCTGATAGAAATTTAATACTGGATGATAGTAATTAATTATTTATTTTGATAATTTAAAAAACAATAAACAACGTTTTTAATACTCAAAATAAATAACTTCCAGTATAAATTGGATTTCTATAAAGATTGCATAGCCTCGCACTGTAGTTTACTGGCAAAATAATTAACGTCCATATCAATTTGCAACAAAGAAAGCGAATCAAAAGTGGCGTTGCGTTTTTTAAGGTAATTTTAAAAAAACATTCCCTTGAACGTTCGCCGGAGGCTGTGATAAAAATTATGCAAGAATAGTGATGAAACTTCGTAATCTCTTAGCCATTTATTTTCGTTTTTGTACAAAGGAGATATGACACTTCACAATGTCAATGCATTCGCAACTTAATTTCGTAAGAGATAAATCGTGAATTGTACTTTCTGCTGAAAACGCAATTATAAACGCGCTGATAAACGCTTAATAAATTTTGTGTGGATAATATATATTTTATTACTAATGGGCCTTTTATATATATATATATATATATAATGTGATTGGTCAATTTTTAGCTTCTGATTTATGACTAATGGCTTATTGTAGAAGGCCCACAATCATTTAATTTATTCCATTAAACATGCATATTAGGTATGCCTACAAATCCAAGAAACGTATCTGATAATCTGTATCATAATCGCAAATTCTCTAAACATTCCTAAAATATTACGATTTTTATTTTATAGAACAAAGAGAATATTAATATAATTTATAAAATAAAATACATCAGACTAGAATATATCGAGCAGATCATTATTTAAAAATTACATACATCATGCAAACAGTTTAGTTTGCAATAACAAGTCACGATCAACATCAAAATGACATTAAAATTTTATTTTACTTTTATTTTTTTTAAATGAATCAATAACTGATTAAAAATTAATTTTAGTAATCATTTTTGAGCCATTTTGATGTCATAATGACTATTTTTATTCTATTTGAGAATTAATGCGTATGAATCCCGGTAAAAAATTTTTCATGCATGGATATATATAAATATGTATAAACATACATAAACACGCATAAATATTCATAAACATGTATAATTATATACGAAATATGTCCATACATGTTCATACATCCTTTTTTCTTTTATAAAATTACTTTTTAGTATAATAGAAATAATAATAGTAATGCGAAAACATTAAAAATAATTATAAAGGTAATTTTCGCACTATTTGTTTTAGAAAAAATCAAGTTTGAAGAAATGTAAAAAAACTATTTATGTATAATTATATATAAAAAATTTTGCATAATCATGTATAAGCAATTTTTTAAATATTTTTCCAAACTTGTTTTTTTCTAAAACAAACAAGTCAAAAATTATCCCTTTAATTATTTTTTATGTTTTCACATTACTATTATTATTTCTAATACACTGAAAAGTAATTTTACGATAGAAAGAAGGATGTATGAATATGTATGGACATATTTCATAAATAATTATACACATTTATGAATATTTATATGCGTGTTTATGTATGTTTATACATATTTATACATATTCATGCATGACAATTTTTTATGTCACATAGATAAATAGAAATCTAAAAGAAACAAATTATATTAAAACCTATTATATTAAATTTTTAAAGTTAATTATATATCTATTTTTAAAATTTATCTCTTTTGTTTCTCTCTCTCTCTCTCTCTCTCTCTCTCTCTCTCTCTAATATAGAAAATAAAATATGAAATTAAAGCCATCTAAGCCTCCTTCCAAAAATTCCTTAATTAAAATTAAAACTCTCACTTTTGTTTTCACATTTGATCACACATGCGTAAAATAAAAGTGAGGCTATTTGCACGCATGGTACGATCACACGTGCGACATAAATATTTTGCGCAACGTATCGTTAAGGTGACCCTACACGCACGATCAATATTGATCAATAATATTGAATCAGAAATATTTTTAATATTTTTACAATTTAAAATTTATCTCTTTTGTTTCTCTCTCTCTCTCTCTCTCTCTCTCTCTAATATAGAAAATAAAATATGAAATTAAAGCCATCTAAGCCTCCTTCCAAAAATTCCTTAATTAAAATTAAAACTCTCACTTTTGTTTTCACATTTGATCACACATGCGTAAAATAAAAGTGAGGCTATTTGCACGCATGGTACGATCACACGTGCGACATAAATATTTTGCGCAACGTATCGTTAAGGTGACCCTACACGCACGATCAATATTGATCAATAATATTGAATCAGAAATATTTTTAATATTTTTACAACCTTACACGATCAGTATTATTGATAATATATTTCTTAGTTTTATGTACATTGGCCCTGTTCTTTTTAGCTGATGAACTTCTCGCATGATTCATCTTTTCTCTTTTCCTCTCCAACGTGAAAGGAAAAAGGAAGAAAGATGAACTGTGCAAGAGCTTTAGCTAAAAAGAACAGACCTATTATCTACACACTACCGTCATATATATGGATCCTAATAAAGCGATACTGATGTTCGAGAATCATAATCCCTCAATATTAACCACACCCGATCAGAAAAATTGTTAGTATTTATTAATATCTACTGACAGTATTAATTGTTGACCATGTAGAGTCACCTTTAGAAGCGATATAAGATGATTGAAAATGAGATTCATTGATCTTCGGATTAGGATTTTAAGAAATTGAATTTTGAAATTTTTTCAATATTTATATATTTTTTATTATCATATCACCTGCGAAACCATGCGGACACATTATGCAAAACGTTTGGATAACACGGGATGACGTCTCAACACTCTAGCACGTTGGAGTACGTTGGCAGCATTGTGCGCGCGCAACATTCCGGCGACGCTCGGCGTCTCAGTCGGTGTCGAGCCGCCGAAGTGAGCGGATCGAAGCACCGATAATATCGTAAGGGTTAGTCGCGTGTTGCGTGCGCGCGAGTCTGTCACGGGGGCGTATCTCGACTCGACGAATCGACGGGACGGGAAGCCAAGCACAGGTGCAGAGTGCAGACCGGATAAGATGAGCGGATTACTGAAGCTGTCGGCGTCGTTGCTGCCGAGAAGTCTGCCCGGATCGACGGCGCTGGTGAGAACCGGAGCATGCGTTCGCAATTCGAACGATAGAGACTGTTGCGGCTTAACGTCCCCGTTTCACGCTTCACGCTTCACGCGGTTTCTCGATTTCTCACCCCGTGGAGGTAGAACGCGGTCGCGACCGCATTTCTCTCGCTGAGAAAATGGGAGTACAATCGTCGGCACCAAGGGTCGTTCTTTCGCGAGTGAGAAAACCGGAACTCGTACCTCGACGGAATTAGAGATCGATCTCGGGCACACCTGGCCTAGAAAATCTCGTGTTACCAGCGGCCTCGCGCCATCTTAAAGGAAGAAAAAAAAATCCGTCGCGAACGTCCCGTTGCTCCGTTCTTCGTTCTCCGTTATTCGGCGGATTACCTTCGTGGCGGCAGGTCAGGGTTTCGCGAATTCACGTTTCGGCTCGTTATGTAATTTTTTATTCGCCGTCCCGCCGGCGATGGATCAATTACGTAAGGTGCGCGCGACCGACGAATCATACGAATAAATACACGCGCCCGGAAACGCGCGTCTTGCCGCCCGCTCGTGGTAAACAACATCCCCCTCAGCTTCTCACCGTCGAGGGAATATCTTCCCAATTCTTTCCTCGCTCGTTCCTGAGAAATTCCGCCACAAGATAGAACACATTCATTCTATTTCCATATGTTCGGCCGCGTCGGCATCGTCGGCGGGGGCTGCTCGCGAATCGCGTCGCGAGTCGCATCTAACCGTCTAATGGTGTCTACACTGTCTACTCGATGGCTCGATTCTGAATCCAAATCGAGATACACTTTTACGGCATTTCGGCATGGACGTCGATTAATTTGAGCGGTGAACGAGGTATCGATATCCGCAAGGTATTTGAAAGAACGAGGCGACGTAGCGATATTTAACTACATTTACACGTCATACTTAATCAGGTTTAATAACATCCGTAATTATGAAAACTGGTCAATCACAATCGTTCCATTCTTCCGAAGAACAACTATGATTGGCCAATTTCATAACTACGGATGTTATTAAACCCAGGGATGGGAAAGTACTTTGTAAAAGTAATTAATTACAATTACAGTTTTTCTCTTTCAAAAAGTAATTAATTACCGTTACAAGTTATTGACTCTGAAAAGTAATTCGTTACAGTTACAGTTACTGAAAAAGTAACTTTAAGTTACTTTTAAGTTACTTTTTTCATCGGAACTTTTACTAGTAGTATTGATATCATTAGGGCTATATTCAGAAACGTTATCCAACTGCCTTCATGTATCTTTTTATCCTTATTTTTCACCTGATATTAAACAAGGATGATACACGGGGTCATCAGAGTAATGCAGCCTAGGACAATTAAAAAAAAGACTGGCTTACTTTACATGTTCTACAATTTTATATAAAAAGATAAAAAAATTGTATGGCAAAGACGTTTTTCATTAAAGTAGTATAAACACATATGAATATGAATATGAATATGAAATAGCACACATATACAATGTTTTTTGTAAAAAAAATTCTTTTTATATTCGGCTAAAAGTTGCAAATAAATTCCAGCACTAATTCAAAATGGTGTACAACTGTTCACGGAGCGCTCTTGCATTTGATTGGCGGATTCCATTAGATCCCAAAATATAGACCAAACAGGTACAATAGTTCATTGAATGAATAGTTGATTGAAAAAAAGTAACTCTAACTGTTACTTCGTTACAAGTAACGAGTTACTTGCCATCCCTGATTAAACCCGATTAAGCGTGCCGTGTAACGGAAGCTCATATTGTTTTCGTTAATTCGTCATTCAGAGAATTAAGCCTATTTTACAATGTGCTTTTTGTTTTCTGTTTCTTGCTTTCTGCCTCTTGCTTCTTCCCCCTTTGCAACCATTTTATCGACAATTGTATTTCTTGCTACGTGTTTCCTGTTCTTCCAAAGTTCGTCAACTTTTATCTCGGGCGACACAAAACAAAAAACCGGATAAGAAGCAAAAAGACAAGATGTAAAAAAATAGCAAAAAGCAAGAAACAGAAAACAAAAAGCACATTGTAGAATAACTGAAATTAGATTTCAGAATCTTTTCGCAGATACAACAGACGCAACGCGATACGAAAACATCAGTAGGCAGCGAGATAAGCGTGAGACACACCTGTGCGAAATGTCGCGTCGCGCCCTGGATTGATAACGAGCTTTATTTCACGTCTTCGTTTATCAGGTTTTAACGGCATGCTTTCAAAAACATGTGCGTACAAAGTTTATTGCGCACGAAATATTTACGATCGTCACAAAATAGCGTCGAACTTAATTTGTATCAAGATTTTTATCCCAGTGCGAATTATGTGGATGTCAAGAGCGTTTTTATTAAAAAGATAATTATTATTATCTGAAAACATTGTTGTTACTTTTTTTAACCGACGTACCTCCATGATATCTCGTAGCCTTTCACGATTAACTATATCAATGTGGATTTACTACCGAATTTTTAGATAAATATTTGAATCGCGAAGCAATCTTTTTTTTTTAATTAAGAACGAAATTAAGATAAAACAAATTAATCTAATCTTTTTTCAACATTCCCAAAATAAACCCTCCCCTTTAACGTAGCAAAGTAATATTGACTTTTTTAAAAAATTAACGAAATATTGGCTACGTTTACACCGCGCATTTAGGCCGCGGCCTATACAATAGATGTCCTTGTTTATCCTGTAGGTTAAACTGTAGGTTAAACAAAAACACCTATTGTATAGGTCGCGGACTAAGCGCACGATGTAAACGTAGCCACTGATATTGCTGCGCGATCTTAAGATCAAACAGAAATGTAGTTTTTGCCTTATCTTTGAGCACAAGCAATTGTAAGTTGACGATAAGCTACGGAAAATTATCATTTTCTGCAAATATCCCGAGTGATACCTAGTGTTTATCACTTTTAATTATTTTGCAACAAGATATACGGCAATGAAGAGACTCGTTGCACTGTCTCTATTTTTCTACTAGCGGGTCTAATTAACTCGCTAATTGATCTTCAGGTTAACTTCCACGCAGTTGTTTGTAGAAGCCATTGTTTGCAGAAGCTCGTTACATCTTCATAAAGACATAAAATATATATATGCAATTTATATGAGTTTTCCGTGAAGTGTTGTGAATCAGCATTTAGTATTATAAGCATTTAATTAAAACTGCTTATATAATATCTTTTTTTATGTTGCTTGCATCATGTTTCCACTTTTTATATCTTAAAAAGAATTTGTAAATTTTAATCATAAGCATTTCGCTTTATTCTCGTAACATTTGCTCGTGGACGAGTAAAATTTTATTTGTAAATAACATAATATTATTTGTATAATTGTATATTATATAATTGTTTATATTTATATTTTATATAATTATATTTTTAATTATGTGCAATATATAAAAACAATTATAATATGGAGATATGTACGCTTTATTTACAACAATGCTTATCACCATATGATCTCCTAAATAGAGCACAAGTAAACACATATGATACACGCGTACGTACGTACATACGTATACGTAATCGCATATTCGTGACTCATTATAAATAACAATGTATTCACGTGATGTCTTACGTAACTCTCGAATTCGAAAGGAAGTAATTGAAGCTTCCTCAGCAATCTGAAAAAAAAATGATGCTCTTAACAAAGAGCTTATAAAGGCAACTATAAACTAGATATCAGCATTATTTTGTTCTGGACATGCTGCCTGGTATGTCGCTGTCTGAAATTCTGTTTCAACAGAATTCGAATTTTATATTATATCGTATATCCGAATATATTTTTTATCATATATATATCCTTGAATTTTATATCAAAAATTTACGAGATATAGAAGTTATACAATCAACGGTTACGTCAATTAAACGCTCTAGTAAGTAAATCAGTTAATAAACGTGAACTCTTAATCGTAGAATGCTGTATTGCGATTTGCTTGCCCTTGGTATCTCTACTTCGCTTCCGTTTCACAGAACAAGCTGGGACTGCCGCTTCTCGGCAATCGCAAGCTTCACCACACACCGAACCGAACGGCCAAGATTTCCAACGAAATCTCCAAGCAGTACCCGTTGGTGGATCACACGTATGACGCGGTGGTGGTGGGAGCCGGCGGTGCTGGTCTACGCGCGGCTTATGGCCTCGTCGCCGAGGGATTCAAGACCGCAGTGGTCACCAAGCTGTTCCCGACGAGATCGCACACAGTCGCCGCCCAGGGCGGCATCAACGCCGCCCTGGGCAACATGGAGGACGATAACTGGCAGTGGCATATGTACGACACCGTCAAGGGCTCGGACTGGCTAGGCGATCAGGATGCCATTCACTATATGACCCGCGAGGCACCGAAGGCCGTCGTCGAGCTGGAGAATTGTGGCATGCCCTTCAGTCGCACTACCGACGGTGAATGAGAATCTCTCTCTCTCTCTCTCTCTCTCTCTCTCTCTCTCTCTCTCTC